TGGTTTTGTCGCCAAATGGTACCACAAAATACCGGTTATGGCCAGAGCCAATACGCTTCTTAGTGACATCAAATCCTTAAGATATGAATCAATAGTATATAGTCGATAGGGCACAAAGCCCTCTGTTAGCTAAGATTGATTCAAATTTGTCCCATTAGGCAAATATCCAACCCAAGTCTACAAGGTCCGTTTGGACAAAGCAACCCATGGCTGCTAACAAGGATCCTTTTGTCAGATTGGGTCAACTACCTCCTCTGACTAAGTAGACCAGGGATCATGATGGCCCGGGACGACGGAACCATGGGATCTTGATCAGGTCCATCATCCATTCCCCCACCATCCACTTTAAATGCTAGATGGTGAAATATCTATGTTAAGTATCAAACTCTCCAAATTCTCAAATCCAAACCCAATTCCCAAATTTTATACCCATGCTACAATTATATGCCAAATAACACGTATCTCTACATATCTGATCGATGACTAACCTTAATCAAAAGTTATCTCTCGTGATCGAGAGAGGTAATTAACTATTGGGCTTGCGCCTATAAGAAACAAGAACTCAGATCATAAAGTCCTCACAAAATGAGGGCGAAATCTCTAGGTAGTGTCTTATCTGCAAACCCATCTGCCTTCCCAAAATTTACCACAAAACTTAATCCGTTAAAACTCCCCCGAAAAGAAAAGAAAACGCGGGTGGATGCAGGGGCCGAATTTTCGGAGTCCACAAAAGTATGGCTAAAAATTTATGTATAACTTACCAATGCATGTGGGGCAAAAAGATCCCCATGGGCAGAAGGAACCCCAAAGAAATGAAAACTGCAAAGCTGGTGGGGCAAAAGGGACCCCAAAGAGGCAAAAGGGACTTCTATGTAATTCAATAGCGATAATGCCAAGTTTACTTGGGCTCCATTGAATATGTTTATGAATGAGTAGCCAAATCTTTTAATAAGTAAAATTAATATTCCGTATGGATATAAGAAGAATTTCTGGGTAATATCAAATGAGAATTATGAAGCTTGCTCAAGTAGTATAACTTTTATTTATGTTTTCAATATTTTGAATTTTATAATCATGCAATTTAAATGTTATTTTAAGTTGCATCACTTACAGAGTCTCATAGCTCACCAGTAATTTATTACTGGTTGTTGTTACATGAAAGGAAAAAGGAAAGGTGGATGAATACTAATCTGCAAGTAATTAAATTTTATATTAATGTTTAGTCTATGTTTGAAGTCTACTTATGAGGTTAGTAAGAAGTTTACTTGTTGTACTACTTTGAGTTGGTTTGGACTTCCTTAGTGGCTCTGTAAATGTGTTTATTGAGGTTTTAATTTAGAAGATGCTTCCGTTGATGTATAAATGGACTAATAGTTGGATGTTTTACATGAAATTCTAAAAAGAAAAATTGTATTAAATGTTTCTGAAAGGGTAAATGATTATGTGATGCATGTTACACTCAATGGTACTATTTAGGAGTACTGTGGGAAGTTACACCTTGGTCTTTGAGAGAGACTTGCGGATTCTGGCTTCACCGTAGCCTTAATAGATTTGGATGATATTGTTGCTTTGTTCTGCTCCAGTGTATCCTGCATCACCTAAAATTGTGCTTGTTTTGCTGCATGGTTTCTAGAATTCTCAGCTCGAAGTTTCTCATCCCTTTTCTCTTTATATTGGTTGTAAAACCCCCCTTTTGATCTTAGGTGTTTCTAACAAACCATCAATACCAACTTTGGCATCAAGGTATTTATTAGCCTTACTGCTCTCCATCGTTTTCACAAGCATGCCTTCACCATCAATGGAAGTAACAACAGGTTCAATAATAGTATCACCTTGTAGTGGTTCTGTCGTGATGATCTCTTCAGACATAACAACTTGAACACTTTCTGGATTTGAAAGCTTGGCCTTAACATCATCTTCTTTTTTCTCCTTTGTTATGGTCCAAGTTACCAGAAGCAATCTGATGGCAAGGATCTGATGTTTTTTATTTTTTTTCATGTGTAGAATGCTTAAAGGAACCACCCATTTCCGCACTCCATCTTCGTAAGAAAGATTTGTTAACATTAATGGATACCTCTGAAGTTTTCCTATTTTGAATATCTGCATTTTCATCTTTTTGTTTGCACTCAAAAATGCTTATAGAATCTTGAACACTCATTCTTGTGACATTATTATTTTCAGGCTTCTTTGGTGGATGTTCCATTTCATCATCCCCACTATTGGATCAACATCTCTATTTGTTATAGTTTTCTCTATGTCCTGAAAATAATTGAGGCTCTTAGTGGAAATTGCAGCAGACCTACGAGAACTAGATATATCTACCTGGATCCGCCGCATTGGTGAAACAAATCTTCTAGGTGTTGCAGATCTTAAACTAGCCGACTTCTTACACCATTGGGGCTATCTCTATCACTTGAATCTGAGGAATCCTCACTCTCTAATGAGTTATGCCGCTTAGCTTAGGTTACTTTAGAAGAAGAAATTATACCCGCTAAGGGATTAACTACATCATATTTTGCACTAAGGAGGGAAAACATTCCTTTTGTTGCTTGGTTAATATTTCTTGAATCGTTCAAGGATGTCTGCTGCTTCTTTGCAGTGTCGAAGTGCATATTATTTGGGTCCAACTCCATAAACTTAAATAATAAGTTGCTTAACTCCGCTGCTCCAAAATGTTGAGATGCTAAATAAGAAATATGGTTGGTACGACAATTAGCACAAGTAGCACAATTGAAAGAAGAAACTAGCTCTTCCTTCAAGGCAATGAGTCACAAATCCATAGCTCGCTACAATTCATTCTTTGTAAATTCAGGAGATAGTGATAACCTAGGATATCTCTTATTTATGGACAGATAATACCTTTCCCGTTCCTTCTTTCATTCCTTCTCCCACAACATATCTCGATAGTGCTGCTCTTCGCATATATCAAGTTCTTGACAAAAAGTATCTCTATCGTCCTTCCATTCAGCAATTGTTGGGACTCCAAGATTTAGATAGTCATATGAAAAAATGCTCCCTTGGTAGTCAGTTCCAGCAGAATCATAAAGGTCTTTCCTTGACATATAATCATGCCCCTAAGGTAAACTTAAGCCATAAGCAGTATTTGACCATTGAGTATAGATGAGATCATCAATATTCCACCTTGGAGCTCCTAAAATTAAAGCTGAATGTGGTATGTCACACTAAGAACTACCAAGAATGGGTAAAGCATGTGGATCTACACCCATTCTTCTACCTTGCTAACTAAATTCTTGAGGACCGAGAAGAATAGGTGCAGCTCTTGCTGCAAGATATTCAGTTTGTTTCACTTCAAAACTAGGATGCAATGACCCTAGGATCGCCATCACCCCAATAGCTTCTTCATCCTCCAGCGTAACAATTGTCGTGGTCCCTCTATGTTTCCCCCATGTAGCGAGGGTAGGAATGCCACCTTTCTTGCCTTACATGACCAGATCCCCATGGTTCATCATGTACCTCTCCTTCTCTGGTCGTCCACTCCCCTTTCCCAAAAAGTCTCCCACAGTGATCGGCCACTCCACCTCCACCATAAAACTCTCTTCTTGCTGTCCCCCCATCCATAATCCCTAATCCGGCCCTTATCGGGGCCCTAGTAGATAGTTCTTGGTGAAAGAAACTCTCCTTATAGAACTCTTCCTGCCTAATTTCTTTTCCCTTAGATTTAGCAACAGGAATCCTGGTCGATTCCGGGTTAAGGTTAGCAATTGGAACCAACGATGGAGTTTTGGATTGCTTCTTCATGAGCTTTCTTAAAATCTCTTTTATCCCTCCAAATCAGCTCTCCATCCGATTGTCCACAGTTAAAAACTTCTTCCATGCCGAATTTGAATTGTTCTATTTTGTCTTTCAATGCATCCACTTTCTTTGTTGTCATAGGTCCCAAAAAAGTGCTCTGATACCAATTTGATGCGACTTCGAAGCCAAAACATCAAATAAAATAGAAGAAGAACACAGGAACACAAAGGTTGAGTTGATTTTCTTATTTCTCCTTCAATAATAAAGCAATATACAATTGATATACTATTCAGGTATATCAGCTCCCACACAAACCCTAGATTTCGCTAAGAACTCACAACAAATACTAGGAAAATAAACTCAGCAATATTCCCCCCCTAAACCATATAGACAAATTCCCCTTAAATAGCCCTAGAACACAATAATACAATTAGAACATTCCTAATCAGCATAAACAAAATTTAAGAAACATTTCTAAATAAATAGAACATTCCTAATCAAAATAAACATAATTTAGGAAACCTTCCTAAATAATTAAACATGATTTAAAAAATCTTCCAAAACAATTAAAAATAATTTAGAAAGCCTTCCTCCACAATTAAACATATTTTAGGAAACCTTTCTAAACAATTAAACACTTAATAAATAGCATAAACACAATTAAGAAAATTTCCTAAACAAATCCCCCCTTATTAGGAATCTTCCTAAATAATTTTTCTTAATTAGGAACTTTCCTAAACAACTCTCTCTTGATTAGGAACCTTCCTAAACAGCTCCCCTTAATTCCTTACATAATAAATAATAGCTCCCCCGGCCTAGCTGTGGGCCCCCGTAGCGTATCAATTTCACTACCATGCAAAGTGATGTGATAATAGACACAAAAAAAAATAAGCGCAGATCACCACAATCAATATCAAACTAAAGAACAAGTAACACACTGCATAAACCAATAGCCATGCCCTAAAAAGGATTTAACTATACTGAATGCATATTTTGAATTTAAAAAACTCATCTTTTTTCATCAACTCAGATATCAATCACTTATTTAAATTCCTTTTCAATGATTGTTAGTCCATGTACCACTAGTGATTAATCAGAAGCTTCCTACCCTTTCATCTTAACGATTATTCATGCATGTAGACCTAAAGACAACTTATTAACAAGAGCGGGTAAAAATGAAATATTATTCTTTTTCATATAAAGAAAAAAAAGGGAAAAAAAGGCAATAAAACCCATTTGGGGCACACCTGAAAATAGGTATTATGCTCTGGAACAACATTGTTCTTTTCCAGGGCAACTACTGGCCTTCCAATAATGTCCAGATGCGAATATTTTGTCTGCAGAAGAGATCCAATTTTTTAGAAACAAGCACAAATAATTAACAAAGTCTTGTCATTAATACTGCACTGAACCAAATGAGTGCAGTAAATGAAAACTATAGACGACCTCATGCCATTGCTTGGTGTGAAATGGAACCGAAACAGAAACTTCTTTGGATCCTTCAGGTAAAACAACCTGCAGCCAGCAAATAAATCATCACCCTTCAGCAGGTGGAGCAACTCGATTTGCAGTGGTTTTAATACTAAAGCTGTATTAACTTAATTTGAGGATATTGAGATGAAAATTCGATCACTAAATAATAACATGAACTCCAAATTCCAGCCAACTGAAAGATATCATCAATGAACCAAAATATAATTTGGATAAGACCTGAACCTACATTAGTATAATTAATTGAAATGATCTAGCCACTCCACTCAAAATTTCTAATAGCATTTTAAAGAGAAAGTGGAAAATTTTGGCTTATTAAAACCTTTAAAAAAAAGTTCATGCATGGCACTGTGAAATCAGATCAGTGCACACTTACAACAATGGAAATGCTTCATGATGAAAAAACAAATGTCTTTGATATTCAACACAGAATGTGTTCTACAGAATATCCATAAGTTGTTCTCATCAAATATTATCTTTGATCATGGACAGAAGGCACTTTCGAAATTAAAGAACAAGACTGGCCATGAACATGGCCATTGAAGTTGCTGGTTTATAAAACACAAAAAAGCTTCAGTGGAAAGAGAAAGGGACATGGGAATTCAATATTTTAGCCAAAAAGGAAATACCGATTTAATCCAAAACTAACTTTAAACACCAATGTTGGAATTCCACGTCTATACCACTAATTGAGATGGAAGTCACATCATCAACTTAATTTTAGTTGGGACGTGTCAAGGCCTTGCCAGAACATTTTTTCTAATAAATGAAGTAGAAACATTGGCATCCCAACAAATGTCTAGTTATGTCAAATAGAACTTGCTGATTGAGGTTAACATAAAACTTAGAGATCAACTCAACCCTAACATGTCATACTAATTGCTGTGCAGGCACTGCAACTTAGAAGATGATGATTGTAAATAAGTTATTGCATAAAATTTCTTAAGAGTAATAAACAAGATTGTCAGCACCATAGGCACTCAACTAAAAGTAAATTATTTGAATAAAAAATGCACAGTTTATCTAGCATACCATGTTGCACTATCACTAGCATTGAAAAAAAAAATACTAACATAGAAAATTGCCAGATATAAATACGAAAAAAAAGATATTCACTAACTGCACAAATCACAAGAGAGATATAGGGAGGATCAGATTAGGGGTGCAAACGAGTCGAGTCGAGCTCGAGTCAAGAGGTGTTCGAGCCGAGCTCGACTACAAAAAACTGAGCTCGAGCTCGAACTCGGGTCGAGCTCAAACATCGAGCTCGAGCTCGACTCGACAACAGAAAATGAGCTCGTCGAGTCGCAGTTCGAGCCTGTTAACGAGCCCTCCACCTGAGTCGTGTCGTCTACGCTCCACCTGCGTCATTCGCGTTCGTCTGCGGCAGCTTCTACGTCGTCCGAATCTTCTCGCAAACAAGACAAAAAGTGAAAGGCTCCAATTCTGCTTCTAAATCGTTTGCATTCCGCCCGCATTCGCATAGAGATGCTTACACAACGTCCGCGTTTGTCTGCGGCAGCGTCTACGTTGTCCGTAGTCGCCTGCGAGATTACTATTCGTAGTCGAAAATGAAGGATGTTTTCCCGTTTCGAGCTCCGCCGTCGCCGTCTTCCCGAAATCACGTCGTCTTCTTCCCGTTTCGAGCCCCGCCGTCGAGATCTACGTGAGAGTTCCGTCAATTTGGATTTCCCGCTTGCGAGAGCTCCGTCATTTTGGATTTCCCGCTTGCTAGCTCCGTGTATTAGGTTTTACTACCGCGTGCTCCGCCGTCGAGCCGAGTCCAAGGCTTGTTCGAGCTCGAGCTCGATAAGCCTTCGAGCTCGAAATTGTGTTCGAGCTCAACTCGCGAGCTCGATAAGCTCGACTCGTCGAGCCCGTTACCGAGTCAAGTTCGAGCAGGCTCTCGAGTCGGCTTGACTCGGTTGCACCCCTAGATCAGATACATGAGGACTTTGCTAGTTAAAAGCTATCTGGGCTGCGAAAAATGTTAAATTGAATACTTATATCATGCTAGAAAGTTACTGATGCAAAACATAGTCGGCACTCTAAATTACGGGATGCAAAAACAAAAAGGTTTCTAACTGAATGTCAAATTCACATTGTCTAAAAACATGATGGTTATTTAATTGAATATTATCAATATTTCACTATAGAATGCTTTTTTTCTTTTAAGGGGCTGGGGGCAGAATAGCTCCTTTGGCAACAACTAACCCATGTTTCCCACATATAGAAAAGGAGAAATAGCAAAGTGGAAGTACAGAAATTGTCAATAAGGTAAACCCTTAAAACAATAAAAGTAGAGCTGTTCTCACAGTGTAGTTGAATGATCAAAAAGATAAAATTTGTTGGATGCATTAAGAGAGATATACTGGATAACCATTTAGCATTTCACAAATAAGCTTTACAAAACTAATAACAGTTACAGAATTATCACAAATATCATTTCTAGAAGGAATTTTGCTGGCATCATAAATGATCGGCAAGAACAGCATCTCCAAAAGAACTTGAAAGAACACAAAGAATCAAAAGCTCTTAAAGAACTCTGATTACTACAAGTCTTGGAACTAGAAAACTAAATATAAATCTAATCAAGATTGCAGGAGCTAAAATATTAGAACATATAACAGCATGCAGAAGATGCTGAACATAAAAAAGGAAGCTTTCCAAAAAATCTAAAATATGTTTGCATGAACTGTCAGGGAGTGTAAGTTCAAAAAAGAGTAACTCACCTTAACAATGAGATCATCAATAACAACCTCATCCATAGGGCAGCCAAATGTGATGTTAAGGAAACGGTTTCCCTCAGAAACAAACAGAAAGTCTTGCAGTGGTAAACTATAGCCAATAGTAAATGATGTTCTCCACCCACCAAATATAGGAAATCTAGGTTCAATTTCCAGTTGTGTCTGTATACAACACACATATAGTGAAACTCATGTGATATAAGCAAAAACTTGGAATGTGTGCTCGATCTTGAAGTAGAAATAAATTAAGACAATAATAAGTATACGTGCTACCTTTCTAGAGTCTCCCCAGAGATGTGATGTTGAGATGTTTCCAATGTCATCTCTATAATAAATAGAATGGGCTCGTGGTGGCAACCTAGCAATGAGTTGTCTAAGGGATGATCTCCCTCCCATATATGATCTAGATTGATAGTCAAGCCTACAAAGAAACACATGTTAAACCAGCTAGTTTTACTTTATTTAACACAAAAGAGAAAGAAAACAAAAAAGTTGAAGAGATTAACCTAGAAAATCCGCCTTTGTTAGTGGCCCCTTTGTGGGCAAGGTTGTAGTGTTCAGTAATCTGTATGCTGCCCCAGTGAGAAACCTCTATCTCCCTCACTAATTCTTGAGCAACCACAAACGGATTATTGTTTTCAAAATGAAGAACTATGGGTGAGTAAGAGAATGGAGGAAGTTTCTCATATGGCCCATATTTAATTTCAGAATCTACAAGTTTTCCACTGGGATGTTTTGTATATGATTCCACTCTTCCACCAGGTAGCAGAACATTAAGTGACTGGGACTTCACCTCATAGGGCGAAACATAGTAGGCACTATCCTGATAAACAACAAGCTGAACATCCGATTGACTGATTTCCTCGGGGAATGGCTGCAGAGAATGGGTGAATATGCTGAGAACATTTACAGTCAAGCTTTTCCCTTTCTCCAGCCCCTCATGTAATGATATAGAGTAGAAGCTCAATTCTCGGGGCATGCCTTCTGGATGAACCTCAGCAACAGGAAGATTAATGGCAGAACCTTTTCCTTTTCCTTCATTATAAAATGCCTTCAAATTTGCTAGGTTCTTTGCCTGCATGTTAGGAATTGCCAGCAGAATCTCTGAGACAACAACACGGCCAGCATTCTCAACCTAAAAATATGAAAGACAAAATACTGTTAGCAAACCCAAGGGCATTTGAAGAATAATGTCTATGCACATCTGGAAATATATAACATAAACTAAAGACAAAGCTTTTAAAAATTAATACATTACCACTATTAATAAGCACACTGATGTTGGACAGATACATGCAAATTTTTAACAGTCAAATGCCAGGTTAGGTTAATTTTGGCCAAAACAGAGAAAAATTATCCCCATCATTAGCCTTATCCCGACTAATTGGGATTGATTTTATAAATCCTCATTCTCCATTCAATCTTGTTTAATGTTTCTTGAGTGATTAATTATATCTAAGAAAAATCTTTTTGAACAAAATATATTCATGTTGTTGCTCGTCCTATATATAAGGCTTATGATGCACCGACACTTCCTCCTCAAAGAGGCGGCAGTGTTCGCGGACAGCCGTTGTCCGACACGACACTCGTCCGACACGTGTCGGACACCGCCAAAAATGTCGCGATTTAAAAAAATATTAAAAAAAGTTGGACAGCGCTGTGTCTCGACACGCGTATCTTTAAATATTTTAAATTATTTTTTTAAAAATATAATTTCTTATATTTGGTGAGATTTAAACTAAATTTCTATTTCATATCCAACAACACCAAATCAACCGCTGCATTTAATACCATTCATCGAATAATCCTCATTTTTCATTTCTCTTTGGGCAGTGAAGGTATTTTCATCTACTCTCCTTTTTTGGCACAATACACATCTTTCTTTTGTTTGAACCAGAGTTAAAGTAGTGAATTCAAGTTGATGGATATTAAGGCAAAAACAACCTCTAAAGCTAATCACTAATATGTTGAAGCTTGAATGCTTGATGTTTGTTAGTAAGTGATTATTTTGCTTATATTTTTGTGGTTATACTAATATATTTGTACTAAATTTTTATATTATTAAGCTAGACAAGTTATCATGTCATTCATTTATTATTGTTTGTCATTTTTAATATGATATTACATTAATATATATACAATATATAAAAACATGTATTGCCGTGTCCGCGCCGTACCGTGTCCTATATTTTCAAAAAAAGCCGTGTCCCGTGTCTGTGTCGTGTCTGTGTCGCCGTGTCCGTGTTTGTGCATCATAGATTAAAGGGTTGTTTGGTTGAGTTACTTTAGGGTGTAAAGTATTCCATAAGCAGAAGTATTACAAATTTTGGTGTTTGGTTGGAATATAAAAGAATGCAAAGTAAAGTATAGTAAATGTAATGTAAAGTGAAGTTTTCGCTGTCGGCCACCACCGACCACCACCGGCAGCCGCCCTATGCTACCCGCCACTGCCCCCTGCCAACTATTAGCGACACCCACCGTCGCCCACCCATCGCTGCCCCGCCGCTTCCAGCTATCGCCGTCGGCCGCCGCCCACCAACCGTCACCATTTAGGAGTTTACAGTCATTACTTCTAACAAAACAAGAAAAATCATTCACTTGTTACTTTACATTCATCCAAACAACTCTAAAGTATTCCTTTTATACTGCATTCTTTTTTTCAGTCAACCAAATAGCCCCTAACAAAAAATCTTTTTGTACAAAGTATATCCATGTTATCACTCGTCTATAATGTTTTCCTCTCTAATCTTCCAATCTTAATTTTATCTATCCATTCATAACTGCATCTTCTACATTCTATTGTACATGTTCAAACCTCCTAAGTTTATTTCCACCATCTTATCTTCAATTGTGCTAGTCTTACGATCCCTTTCAAAATAAAGAAACAACCTTATTTTATTTTTATCCACAATGCAAGACGAAATGACCAATTTTGCCATGGAACTAATCCAAACTATACTGATAAATTTAGGATGAGGATGGTTGGCTCTCAAGTCAACCCTTTTGATATAGGAGCAAGAAACTTTAATGCACTACATTACATGATCTTCTATTTATTTTGAGCATGTATTAGATTCCATCAAGTACATAATGTATGAATTAGTTATAAGCAGTGTGCATATCAATCATAATAAGTTGGTTGGTTAAATCAGATTATCAACACCTAGTGCAAGGAAATAACTTAGATTTTTCTCATTCTAAGTTTCGATGATGGAGATAACTTGGTTCGAGTAAATAACCAAACTAAACCAGCAACGTTGTGCCTGATCAGTTTGTTAGTTTTCATGGTTCTAGGGAAAAAAACCCCTCAAAAACACTGTGACTCGAATAAATTTGTTCATTAGAGCATTGCTTGCAAACCATTATGCCCTAACGCACATGAACATGACACCTCCACACTAACTTACATCCAATTATCATGGTTTTCCAAAAGTTTTTGATAGGAGGTTTTCTCTACTGTTGTATCTTATGAAGCATCCCCAATTTTATAAATCTTCCCACGAGTCTTTAAAATTGCGTAATAAGATTATTTCTAACATTAAGGAAATACACAATGTTAGAGAGATGAAACTGTCAAAATTAACTAGATTTTCATAAACTAAGACAACAAAATCTTACTTTTAATGTTATAGGATATAGTTGTGTGAAATTGATCAAAGGAAAAAAAAATGTCAACTTAACTATATTCAAGAAATCGATTCATGTCAAATAAGAGTTTGTTGCAGTGTTTTTGTTATTAAATTACAAACTTGGGTTATTTAAGTTGACAAATAATCCAAAGCATAACTAGACCAAATAAACAAGTCAAGGTTAAAAGTTTAAGAGTAGGCTGCAAACTTCTTCATTTACCATATTGTAATGGCATCTAATTTACCATCAAACTGTTCCCTTAGTTCTTATGTTAAAAAAAAAAAAGCTATGAAAGAATGCTCTATTAAACTGGAACAAAAAAAATTGTTTTCATTAAATCTTCAATCTTTTTTTCATAAAGACATTCAAAAGTTCACCCTTGTACAGCCATTATTTGCTGAATTTCAGAGTTATCAACATAAGGATTTTAAAATCAACCCATCACTACCAGCTCTTCCCATTCTGACCACCTAAATTAGTGGCAGTGTAGCAAACAAACTTCACTCAGACTGAATTTAAATAATTGCCTAAAAAATTAAGAATTGCTTAAAAGAGAGAACAATAATAGCATACCTTTAAAGTAGACAACACTCGTACAATGTGAGAAGTCAAATCAATCTGCAAAATGAATGTTAAAATAATTAACCTTTTGCAAATTCCACAGCATAAGCAATTTAAAAATTAACCATTTTCTATAAGGTCCTATACTTTTAATTTTGAAACCACACAGACCAAAAGATCTTTTGTAGGATTTGATGCTTTAAGCATATACTATCTCTAAGAAATATCTTCTTTGTCAAGCTCTTTGTAAGGTGTTGACATTGTTTAAGATATACTAACTATAGTAACCTCCATAAAAGCAAACTTACTTAGAAACTGGAAGGTTAGCAATTAAATTCAACGAATATCCCCTCAACAATACGTCCTGGAGGTTGAAGTAATAAACCCCTTTATGAACCATATCACTTAGTGCCTAACGACATTACATAGAACCTTCACACAATTTTGTACCAGGCATCAGCATGCACTGAAGCTTGAAAATAAGTCAAATTGGTTCTAATACAATTCAGAGCTTTGAATTGTAATATAATTCAATCTCACTATGCTAGCAACATCCCTCACCATCACATGCAACAAAAGCATAAACTCACATGTAATCCTAACGAGGCCAAAAAAAAAAACTAAACCCACTTGTTCCTGCAAAATATGCAATGTAAAATAACAAGAACTCTTCGGCATTAAACTCCATCAGGCTCTTTAAAAACAATGCAAAAATTCGGGTCAACAAGCGAATATTTCCAGCAAGTGATTTTGTGGAAAATTAGCTTATATCAAAATTCTCTAGCTTGAAACCATAAATTAACGCTATTCGTATTTGCCGTCACTCCATTACATACACTAAAATCCACTTTAGGGGCCATCATTCAAAATACAAGGTTTTGCAGTGCCATACTTCAATCTTATGATAAAAATCTATATATTTCTCTTACAAATTAAAAAAAAAATGATCTGCATACCAAAATACTAGACAATTGGTATTTATGTCCCTAAGCGTCTTAAGAACATTTGCAATCATATTTCTTTTTCGGAGGAAAAAGACCAACACTAACTCTACGGATCCTGATATACCCCTAAACCCATATAAAGGTGCACCTTTTTCAAAAATGGTTTGATCATTGATGGCCGAACAGATTGAGACTATTCCTTCAACAGAGAACAATCATCAAGGTGCACCTTTTACTAACTGAAATATTACAATCCGATGAGACAATGGAAACCTGCAATAGATATACATCAAAGCCGGGAAAGAGAGAAATGATAGAGAAGGAGCCACTCACCCGTCGATCTACCTTGGAAATTACAAGATCGGATCTGGCAGTCGTCATCCATGTTGCGAGGAGGAGGAAAAGAGCACAGGCAAACACCTTCCGCATTTCCGTCAGCCCAGATTACGAGCTAGGGCTTTGACGATCGACAGAAGAAGCGATTTCTCGAACTCACGACTCCAAAATCTGAAAAATATTCTCGTCTTCGCTTCGGGAAATTATTTGGTGCGGAGTCCGGACTAGCTCTAATTCTTACTTCTTCTGTTAAATCTTGATAAGTGGAGTGTGACAAATTATTACTTACGAATCATAAGAATCGTTCATATTTGCTCTAAATACGAGTATTTATTATGTATTTAAAAATATTCAATAAATATTTAATTATGAGTATTATTGATTATTTTGTGAGTATTTATTAATTTTATAAGTATTTTATGAATATTTTATGAGTACTTGTTTACTGAGTATTTGTAAATACTCAGTAAATATACAACAATCCAGACTATTATTTCCGTCCGGACTCCATGTCTATATCACTCATGATTGACCAGACTCGCCACTGTTTTTTTATTTTTGGGAAAAGGGGCTTAGGATTGACGCTTCATTTTAAGTCAAACCCCACGAAAACTCTCAAATTCAAATATTTAGGACTTTTGATACCGCTGAGAAAGAAAAAAGGAGCAATGTTGCATTATTTGCGGAGTTGGCATGCTCACAAGACGTGAAGGCTGAAAGGAGATATTTAAACATTCATGAATCGAAAATTTATTTCGCTGGAACTGTTGCATTTTTCAACTTATCGATAAATTTCTACTTCATCCCAAATTGTTATAAGGGTTTTCAAAGTTTTATAATTTTTTGCATGAGCTACGCTATTTGGATAGAATGTCCATGCTAAAAAAAGATATGTATGCAACACATTAATGCTTAGTACAAGCACATACAAGTGCATATAAAAAACAAAAGATCACTACGCATTTGCTACTCCACTTTTACTGTGTATTGTTATTGTGCTCTTGCTACGCTTTAACTATACTTTTATTGCATTTTCACTGCGCTTCCATTGTGCCTTCACTGCACTTTCACTGTGCTTTTGTTAAACTTTTGATGTGCTTTTCCTAATGCATTTTATTACCCTTTCACTATGCTTTGGTTACGCTTTTCACTATGCTTTTACTGCATTTTTCTACTGCGCCTTCATTAGGCCTTCACTATGCTTTCACTATGCTTTTGTTGGACTTCACTACGCTTTCACTGTACTTTTTTTGCACTTTCACTGTACTTTTTATACTACGCTTTCACAACGCCTTCACTGTGCTTTATTTTGTATTACAGGTTGTGTATAAAGATGAGAAAGAAGCATACGATGCTTACAACAGTTATGCATATAATGCTGATTTTAGTATACACAAGGATTATCACAACTATTGGCAAAATTTCAAAAAGAAAAAAATCAAGGACTTTGTATGGTCGAAATTTGATTTCAAGAAGAGATTTGATCTGAATTCCCAAACAAAATATCAAAAATTAAAGACCCAAATGACTTATTTATCTTTGGTTATGTTTGTAGTTGATAAAGTTGGGAACTGGAATGTGAAAAAAATTATTGAATCTCAGAATCATGAATTAGCTAAGCCAGAATACTGACACCACCTCAGAACATGTTGGAATATTGATGATGAGAAAACTTCAATTGTAAAATTAATGATAGAAGCCAAGAAAAGAACCGTTGATGCATTCTCCTATCTTATAGAGGAAGTTGGAGGTATCCAGAATGTTGGATTCTCTAAAAGGGATGCATACAATTTTATTCAAAAAGATAAAAAAGTAAATATTAAATTTAGGGACACTAATTCTTTGATTCAATTCTTTAAATATTATCAAATTGATGACAACATGTTTTCATGGGATGTCTAAATTGATGAATTTGATATATTTTTATTTTTTATTGTTGATGGTATGGGTAGGATAGATTATGACTATTTTGGAGATGTGGTGATTTTTGATACTAGCTATAGGTCAAATAAATATAATTTAGTTTGTACATTATTTATCTATGTTAATAATCCTTGGCAAAATATTTTGCTAGAAGTGAAATTTTGTATCAGTAGAAATAATTGAATCATTTACATAGTTGTTTAGAATATTTATATGAATAATGGGTGATAAACATCCAATGATAATATTTAATGATCAAGACGAGGCAATGCCTATAGCCATAGAAGTTGCATTACCCTCACTCATCATAGACTATGCCAATGGCACATCTCTTAAAAGGTTCCATCAAAAGTTGAGTGCTTTAATAGCAATAACAAAGTCATAGGACTCTTTTATAAGTGTTTGAGCAAGTGTGATTCTAAATAGGAGTTTGAGAAAATATTGGCTAAAATGATCATGGAAGGGAACCTCCATAACCATGATTGGTTGGAGATCTTTACAGAATAAGGAATAACTGGTCAACAACATTTAATAAGGATTATTTTAACATGGGCATTCTATCCACAAGTGTAACGAGTATACTAATAATATGTGTCATGGCATTTCGAAGCCTACAAGTTCAATAACTGATTATTTTCTATGATTAAAGAAGGGCGATAATGACTTGGCACTAGGATGAATAGGATGAGGACTATAAATACATCCAGTCCAAAATAATACCTGTAATAAAAAGCAGCTTAATTTTAAAGCAAGCTGGTTGATTTTACTCAAGAAAACTATATTCATTTTTTAAAGAAAAATTTTTATGTGATGTGGGTGGAATGAGTATAGACTTTGTCTCAAGTGATTCTTCAACATTTTTAGTCAATTATAGAGAGAAAAAGGACCAGACTACCCCTTAGGTTATTAATTTTGATGCAACAAAATGTAACATTCAATGCACTTGTAAGAAGTTTGAGACAATGAGTTTGTTGTGTTCTCGCTGCATGATAGTTTTGAGGCAGTTGAATATTGTGGAAATCCCTAAGAAGTTTCAAAGTTGTGATGGTTAGCATGAGCTCAAAATATATATATTCAGGTCACATGGGCACAAGTAAATGAAAGAATATTTATGAAGCTGGTAGTAGGTTCTTATTCAAAAATCATCTCAACAGATTTGCATATCAAATTAACACACAAACGCAAGGGAATACAGAGGCTGAGTAGTAAATGTTGGCTGCAATGAAGGATAAGGCTAAAAATATAGACTTAATTCTTGATGTCAAGATAAAAAATCATAAGTTTGTTAGAAATACATAGAGTAGCAGAGTAAAATTGAAAGATTCACTAAAGTATAGGCCTAAAGGCATCTCTAATGCAAGACTGAATGGCCACTAGGAAAACAAGAAAAAACTTAAGAGTAAGATTTAACATCATGACTTTTTTTTTCATTATATATTATGAAACAATATATATTTTCCTAAGCTTAATTTTTTCAACAAAGAAGCCTACCGTAAAGGAAAAAAAATAAACAGAAATGGATGATCCTTCAACACAGATAAACTTCTCCAGCATGCCTGAATACTTTAATGAGGAATTCATAATCGGGGTAGTAACCAGACAGTTGGGGCCTGAGCTAGTACACCAGAATAATGATGGATGTCATTTCTTTAGAGATGTAATTGTAATAATTTTTAATTATAATGACTAATTATTATTTATTAAATTAAAAATAACTTTGTATTAAACTCAATATTTGTATTAAATTCATTGTTATAAAATTTGTTTTTTTTTTTACTTCAATTCATTCTAGTAATGTTGTTACACTATGTATTACTTTAGTTCATGTAAGTAACATTCTTACATTATATATTACTTCATTCATGCTAGTAAGTTTTTAAGCTAGTAAAACAGTGAAAGTGCATCTAAAGCATAGTCAAAGCACAGTGAAAGCATAGTGAAGGTGTAACTAAAGAGCTAGGATAGCACAAACTGAAGCTTCACTATGCATTCACTGCTCTTTCACGACATTTTTACTATTCATTTATTGTTCTTTGTTGATCTTTTACTGTATAGTTGTTATTGCACTTTTGCTATGCTTTCACTATGTTTTAAATGTGCTTTCACTGCACTTTAGTTGTGCTTTAGCTGCAATCAATTTAGAAATTAAATTTTTAAGAAAACTTTTCTAGAAAATGATACAATATAATATAATTCACTGCACTTTTGTTACACTATCACTGTACTTTGTCAATTAATCGTGGTTTCAACAATCGTCAACTTTAATTTTCAAAATTAGATTACATATTTGGAACTCTCTATCGTGATCACTTTTTTTAGTTCATATCATGATACTATAAGTATTTTCATTATGAATTAGATTGATAAGAAAAATATCCTAAAAATCGCAATATAATATGTAATTCACTAAATTTTAGCTATGCTTTTATTGTTAATCGTGATTTTGACTTCCGCAAGCTTTAATTTTTAGAATTAGATTGCATATTTGGAACTCTTTATAGTGATAAAAAAATTTTATTTCATATCATGATACTATAAGTATTTTCACTATGAATTAAATTTGGAAGAATTTTTTTTTAAATGATAATCTAATGTGTAATTCACTACACTTTAGCTGCACTTTCAATACACTTTTGATGCACTTTAGTTGTGCTTTGGCAGCTAATCATGGCTTTTGACTTTCATAAGCTTTAATTTTCAAAATTAGATTGTATATTTGTAACTCTCTATAGTAATTCTTTTTTAAAAGTTCATATCATGTTATTATAAGTATTTTCACTATGAGTTAAATTTGTGATGAAAATTATCTAAAAAATGATAATATAATGTGTAATTTATTGCACTTTAGCAACGCTTTCAATGCATTTTTGTTGTGCTTTCAATGCACTTTTGCAATTAATCATGATTTTAACTTCCATAAATTTTAATTTTCAAAATTAGATTGCATATTTTGAACTCTCTATAAGGAATCAATTTTTTTTTAGTTTATATCATGTTACTATAAGTGTTTTTATTATGAACTAAATTTGTAAGCAAAATTAAAAAAAAATGATAATATAATGTGTAATTTGTTGTGCTTATAATGCGCTTTTGCAGTGCTTTGGATGCGCTTTAACTATTAATCAGTTGTTCAGCCTAGCTTCAACTTTAATTTGTGAAGCTATATTGCATAGTTTAGAAATCTGTATCCTAATCAATTTTTTTTAGTTCACATCATGTTATTGTGTTTCACCATGCTTTCACCATGCTTTTTTTATTATTTCACTGTGCATTTACTATGTTAAAAAATGAATGCATTTTTAAAAAAAGAATATAGTATTATATATAAAAAGAAATGTAATATTAAAAAAT